GGTGCGGAGGATCAAGTCAGAGAAGCTGCACCTGAAGGACATCAGGCTGAACCTCACGCAGGGGAACAGCACCGCCCCTATCACGATAGAGCCGCTGACCCCTCCGCCCAAGTATGAGGAGATCCAGGAGAAGGCACCGGACGGCCAGCAAATGACTTAAAAAAAAAAAAAAAAAAAAGCAACCTGTGATGCTGCTAGGTTTTTTTTGTTTTGTTTCTAAAAAGGCCCACACTAAGAGGGACTCAGTCTGCGGGCGCAGAAGCGGTCACGGCTCCCTGGAAGCTGCAATGCGGAGGACACGACGGGCACGTAATGCTCCGACGTGGGGACAGGACAAGCTTTCCCCAGGACGGGGTTTTACAAAAGACCGTGGGGAAAGCAACCTGAATGCCAGTAGGTCTACTGTGCTGAAGCGAACGAAGGCTGGAAGTACCGAAAGCGTATTTTGTGGCGTTTGACATAAGGACCACACGATGTATCTTCTCGCCGCTTCTCCCCCTTGCCCAGCCGGACCTTTCCAAGCCGCCAAACTGATCCTGAACAGGGATTTTGTGCGTGGAAAAGGGGAACGTTCCTTTTTCTCTGGCATCTTTTCTTTCTGAGGAAGGGAAACTGCATTGCCAGGGTAGCGCTGCGGCTGCCCCTGCGCTCCCATCTGGGGCTTGGATGGTGGCCCGGGGCCAGCGCCGACTCCTGCCAAGGTCTGTGCTTGCTTGATGGGAAGCGGGATGAAACAGGCCCTGCGCTCCTCAGGGAGAGGATGGATTCCTTGCCTCGGTTGCTTTCGCTGTGGTGTTTCGTGCTCCGATGTGAAGGGATGGTCAGGTTGATGAGGCTGGTGGATGAATCCAGGGCCTTGGGAGCTGTTGCTGAGCATGCCGTGTGAGCAGACCTCTTCTAAATAAATATTTTGTACATTGCGTTTGTGTGTGTGTGCACTCGTGTGCGGTCGGCACTTCCCAAGGTTGGCAAGCCGGAGCGGTATGAAAGCAGTCCGCTGTTCTAGGGCGGACACCGCTCTGCGGGCGTGCAGTGAAGCTATCGATGACAGTGTCATCAGCACATTCAGCCACAGGCTCCCTCGAGTGGTCCAAATTTGGAAGGGGTGAGGAGAGAGCAGAATCTCTCTAGCAGATTAGTAGCAGAAGTCGGCATGGCTGACCTGACCGCTGCCTCCGGGCTGCCGGTTGCATTGGTAGGATGCCCACACTGATGGAGGAATGGAGCGTTCAACAGAGGTTGACTTGGTGGTACGGTTGGTGAAAGGTACCGACGGCCAAAACGAAGATGACAACGAGATGCTGGTCCAAGTGCAGAAAAAGTTTTATCAGGTTAGTTATTATTTCGTGTTGTGCCTCCTAATTTCCATTATTGTATCACAGGAATGTCGCTTTGCTGTGCCCCAGGGGAGAGCATGATCTCGGATGGGCATAATAACATGATGTAATAAGGGACTACCTTCTTCAAGGGAAGGGAAAATCTAGAATAATACACCCCAGAGTGAGGGATTTGGGGCAGGGGCTCCTTTGTGGCTCTTGTTTTGTTGTCAAGGGGTTGGAAAGGCTCCTCAGAAGGTGTCTCCCGGGTGCATGGGCCTCCAAGAGCCTGGCCACAGCAGGAGGCAAGGCGGGAAGTCCTCTCTCCCCAGTGAAGAAACGCAACTGGAACAATTGTCTTAGAAGCCCTTGGTAAATATTGGGTAAATAAAGTGAAGGCTCTTGTGCGAGCAGTTGGGAGTTGAAGTTTGTTAGAGCTTCTTTACCAGCAAATCCCGTTTAATGAAGCAGACTGGCGAAAGCAGAATCTTTGCCAATGCCTCACATAGGAAAAGAGCTGAAAAAATGACGTAAAGTGCAGGGGCTGCAGTGACTAATGTGGTAATGATGCAAAAAATGCCCGAACGGCTAATGAGCATCTGCAGCTACTTGCAAACTCACCCTCTGACGGTGTGTGGAAAGCAGAGGGAGACGTGGGACGCAGAGAAGAGCGAGCGTTCCCAAACCTGCGACCATCGCTGTCCTAGGACGGCTCATCCCTGTGAGAAATTGAGGTGGCACTGGAATATATGGAAAGAGAATGATTATTCCTGAAGGCGAGTGGGACGGAGATGTTTTTCCCAGGTAAGACATGCCGGTAGGTCAGAAATCGGGATGCGTTTCCCCGTGCAGGTTTTCAGATTGCGCATGTGTCTCGGCGTCTCCGGGAGTTAACTCATGTTCGATGGCAATGCGGGAGATGTGCAGACCCGTTATTAACGTGGCGGAGGAAGCCTGGTGGTCGTTAGTTTTAAAAAGCATCGCCGCAGCGCTGGATTGGGGCTGAAAAACCTTGGCCGCTGCGTTGCGGGCGGTGCGGGCCGGTGCCGGGGTACGTGCTGCAGTGTGGCTCTCGGCTTCCCGGCGGAGCGCTCCTTCGCGAAACGCGCTGCTTCTGCCTCCAAATTAAGCGTGATGAAATCTTGCAGGACTTGCTAGCTGCTCTCCCGCGTGGGTTTTGTTTGCGGGTGCCGAATGGCCGTGGTGCAGCCGATGGTGGCCCTGGTCGGCAGAGCAGCCCCTTTGTCTGGGGTTGCCATTTGGGTCCTGCTGAGCATCGGAGCAGCCCTGGGAATAGCAGGAAACCTTTGCTCATGGTTTATTTGTAGATGGGCAACATGTTTTGGGGGTGAGGGAGCGCCGTGGTTTCGTGTGCGTGCGTCCCAAAGGATCGGCTGTTGACTCGATGCCCCCTCCTGCTGTCCCTGTGCCTGGGAGTTTGGCCGAAGGGTGAATTTGTGCTCCGCTTCCTAGGTGTTTCGTCTGGACGACGTGGGAATTTCTCACCCGCGGGAGCAGAACAGGGCCAAAAAGCGATCCTGGGGTTTGCCGTTAACAAAACTGCGAGGTTTTAGGCTCATTTCCAGCAGTCCTGGGCTGCTTACCGGAAGGTTTATAGTTGTCTCGTGTATGGCACAACGCTGGGGTTGAGGAAAGTGCTGTGGTTTGGGGCGATATAGGGCTGCCGCGCTTCCCTCCTTCCCCAAACCCATGGGGGGACGCGGGTGTGCGAACTGCGGCTGGCGCACCGACCCACCCGCCTCC